ACCCAGTGTGAGCTATTCATCTGATGACCGAACATGCCCTTTGGATAGACTAGAACTTCCTCTGTCTCTATTGTGTTGTGTTTTGCAAGGACATAGTTTGTGCTAGTGTAAAAGGAACTTTTACTCATTTCAATTGTTGTCTCAGAGCCTTACCGCCTCTGTCTGTCAACATAAGCCTAGTCATGGGAGCTTCTAGCCTTCATACAATCTAACCTAGGTATAGAATGTTTTCAGTCTGTGAGAATCACTGCTTAATAAGCTCACCCTCTTATGTTCTTATTGAGCTCTGGGCTGGCTGATTCAACTCAGCTGTTCTGGCTCAAACTCCTCTCCTAGCTGATTTATTCAGTCTGGCTTTTCATTCAGCCTCTGAATTGCTCTGCCTGAATTACTTTGTCTAAACTAACTCAGCAATCTTTTCTAATCTTCTGGCTCCTTCTCATTCTCTGGTTCATTCTGTCTTTACTTGTGTCTAGCTTGTTCTCTCTTCAACCTGTCTTGTATATCTATCCTGGTAAAACTGCCTCCTCTTTCTCTCTGCATTGCTCCTTAAGTAGCTTCTTTTCCCTTCTCTTCTTCTGTGCGTTGGGCATATCTTACTCTGTCAAATCTTTTCTGATTTGTCACTGTTTTCTGCCACTCAATTAGCACTCACTTTCAAATGTGAGTGCTTCCTTCTACAAACCATCTTTGCCTTCATTGTTTGGGATTAAAGGTGTGTGCCTGGACCTAAGTTTTCTTTACCTGAAACTTGTTCTAGACAAGGCTGGCCTTGAACTCAGATCTGCTTGCCTCTGTCTCCTGGATTACAGGCATGTTTGTATTCCAGCTGGATCACACAGACCTAGAAGGTCTTTGGATGTATCTCTTGCCAGAGCAGCCATGTTCTGAAGTAAAATTTCTCTACATGCTAGGCTATGATTTTGTATTCATTTGTTCTGGTTTTGGTCTTCAGTCTTTGGATTTGGGGAGATCTCATTTTGATGAAATAACTGGTTTCTCTTTCTGGGCCTATGAGACTACGTGTATGTGTGCACACACCTGTACTCTCTGTCTTAATAAATCCTTAACCATGAACCCACTTCTGAAGCATCAAATGGCAGGTGACACCGGTACAACAGGATGGCTCAGAGGGGGTCCAGGGGCCCCGGATTAGAAGGCGGCAGCTGCTTTCATGGAGAATTCGGCAGTGGTCTGGGGGCTGCACTCCTGGTCCAGGCTATCACCATGGTCGAGGCCACAGGGCTGGTGGAGGTAAAACTGAACACAAGGAGTGGATCCCTGTCACCAGGCTGAGCTGCCTGATTAAGGAAATTAATATCAAGTCCTTGGAGGAGATCTAATCCCTTCTCCCTGCCCGTTAAAGAGCCTGAGTTTATCGACTTTTTCCTGGGTACATCCCTAAAGGATGAGGTTCTAAAGATCATGACAGTGCAGAAGCAGACACGGGCTGGCCAGAGGACCAGGTTCAAAGCTTTTGTCATTATTGGGGACTACAATGGTTGGTGTTAAGTGCTCCCAAGAAGTGCCCTCTGCCATCTCAGGGGCCATCACCTTGACCAATTTTTCCCTTGTCCCCGTGCAGAGAGGCTACTGGGGGAATGAGATTGGCAAGCCCCACATGTAAGATGACAGGCCGCTGTTTTGGTGCGTCTCATCCCTGCCCCCAGAGGCACTGGCATCGTCTCTGCTCCTGTGCCCAAGAAGGTACTGATGATGGCTGGTATTGGTGACTGCTGCACATCAGCCAGGGCTACACTGCTACCCTGGGCAACTTTGCCAAGGCCACCTTTGATGCCATCTCCAAGACCTACAGCTACCTGACCCCCAACCTCTGGAAAAAAACTGAATTCACCAAGTCTCCTTATCGGGAATTTAGTGATCATCTTATGAAAACCCAAACCAGAGTCTCTGTCCAGAGAACCCAGGCTCGAGCTGTGACTACCACATAAGGGATTTTATACAAGAAAAATAAAGTGAATTAAGTCTGTTAAAAAGAAAAACGAAAGGCACAGGAAACAAAACAATGGGAAGCATTGGCTTGTATAAGTCGCTCCCTTCCGAGCAGGGGTGTGGGCCAGGGCCAGCCTTCGCGGGCGCTGCTGGACAACTTTGTGCCACCTTTCTCCCTTGCTGGCTTATTCCCATCTTGTAGGTGCATTAACTCTGTCTACCTGGCCACAGCCCCAAGTCACCTCTTCCTGTGTGCCTGAGAGCTGGCTGCGCTCCTTCCGCACCCTACTGGATTCCTGGTCTGTTTTTCATATTAATCTGTAGACAGTCCTGACCCCCATCTGCCAGATTCATTAGACATGCTTCCTCATTTAGTTGCACTGGTGATCCTTCCAATGTAACAAGGACTAACAAAGCTGCCTCCTAGTATTTCTGTGTTGAAAGTGAATAATTAGGTAGAAGTTTAAATTTTTTTCTTCAGTTAGAAAGTGCCATAAGTAAGCTTGGACAGATGTTAGTCTTCATTCTGTTAGGAAGACAGCGCTACTATCAGCAGTGATTTATAACGTGGCTTTACTTTCCATTATTACAATAATGTTTTAGATGAGTGTGTGGGTTTTCATTGTCAAAAACAGCTGAGACGTGAACAAATGCCGTTTATTTGTAACGTTTTGACTTTCCTTTCCCACTGTGGGAAGCAGGGTCGGGTCGGGTCGGCACCTGCATTTGGCCTGGCCCCAGCGGAAGGTGGGAAAGTGTTAATTACGTCGTTGCTGAGTTTAATGAGCGGTGTTAACATCTCAGCTGGAGCAAAGGTGGGACAGTGGCGGTCCAGGGAGTGGGCAAGGACAAGCCTTAGAAGAGAGTCTGCTGCTCTCTGAAGCTCAGCCTTCTTTATAGCACACTGAGTGCTATTTTCAAAGGGCATTTCTTTATCAGTAGCCTAACTGTCTAGCTGTCTTTATCATCTGCATAATTAAAGCACAAATACTTCTTGGCATAGCGAGTCAGTGAAAGTCTGTGGTTAATATGTTAATTTGTCTCTTACGTCTCGTACAGCCACAGTGCCGTCAGCACTGTCGAGGTCTGATGAACGCAGCTGGATTGTGAGGACTTTCCCAGCAGGGTTGAGAAACTAACTGTCTACAGCATTTATCTAAATTATTCTGTAAAAATCTAATTGCCCAGAGTATTTACTTAAATTATTTTTAAAAATATTTCCAGTCTTTACATATATACTGTTTTGTTTTGTTTTTTTTTAATGCAACAATCATGTGCTTGACAGTTGATCTGTTCACATTAATTGCTACTATGCTTGTCAGATTTTCCTGAGAGCCATCAGGGAAAGCTCAATAGTAATTTTTTTGGTCAGTGTGTCTGGAAAAGTCTCCAGATATTTTTTTTTTTAAAACTAATAATGACTTTGTGAATTTAAAAATATCTTAGAGGCCACATGCTTTCGATGTAAATATTAACTGTAGTTTTTTTATGAAACTCGGTTCTGACCAGCCTGAAGCCTGTCCAAGAAAGGAGCACAGGAGTGGTAGGCAGCTCCTGATTGGTTACGAAGCCTGAGCCAATCCCAGCCAGACAGCTTGACATGAACACAGCTGGGAACGGATGAGGCTAGAAAGTCTGCAGACGTGACTGAATATTACTGTAGTGGAGCGAATGTAGTACTCCTTGTTAGAGGGAAGGAGAAAGCAGAGCTTACCAATGGAGAAACCCCATTAGTGTTTGCTTCTGAAAGTATTTCTGGGGAAAAAAAACCATTCAATTAAAATATATCTGAGTGCAGATTGTCATCTAAAGTATTATCAATGTTTGGGGCAGAAGATCCTTCCACATGGTAATGTCCTCAGCCTTTACAAACATGACGACTGGAGAATCAAATCTACAGCCAAAAAAGAAAAAGAAAAAAAAAAAAGTAACTTAGAAAGGAATTATTTCTCAGCTGTTTTTCCTTCTTTCCTCAGCAGCCTCTGGAGCCAGTGACCACAGTTTTTAACACTGAGTTTCCAGACTCCTTAAATAAGGTTTAGAGTTCAATAGAATGAAAATTTTTAAATTTTAGAACTAAAAGAACACAAAAATAATCTTAATATTCTAATTTAATGTCTGCTTTGACACAAGATAGTTCCTTCTGTATACTACGAGATTGGCATTTATCTTTAAAAAAAAAAAGTTAGAGCAAAAGTGAAAAAAAAAAGAGAAAAAAAATCACTTTGAGTTTCAAGCTAGGGAATCCTCCATGGCAGACCACTTGCTTAGTTTGTCCAGGGTCCTAAGTTTGTGCCTTCAGTGCCTCTCTCTCTCTCTCTCTCTCTCTCTCTCTCTTGCACACACACACACACACTTGGTTTGAAATTTAATATTTTATAAGGCGTGAATACCGTGATGTGGACATAGAATCTTAAGTGTTTTCAAAAAGTCATATTATTCTAACATTGTTTTATACTGTGTCTACAGTAATGCACGTGATTTTTTCTAGGTCCTATTACTGTACATGTATGTACAATCATTTTTGGGGAAAGACACTTGAAGGTTTTAATGGAAGCTGACAAGAGGCAGGACCATACTCCAGGACTCGTTTCTCCTTCCTCCTCCCCTCTGCTCTTCTCCGGAAGTCTTGAGTATTTAGTTCTCTGGTCTATACCTTGTAGGCACACCTTAATATTGTGGTTTATATTTAAAATAATATCAGGTCCTTGGGCTTCTGGGCTTAGTGAGGGAGAGCCTCTGTGGACCTCGAGAGCTGAACCAGCTTGTGACGAGTGATAAGTGCTTATGAGGTCTGAGTGTGTGCATGTGGGCACACGATGCTCCGTCGCACCCTGCTGGCGTACGGCAGGTGAGGGACAGGGAGGAACTGTGAGGCCCATCATCCCGGCTGAGTCCCGGCTGTGACCTGAGGGCGGAGCAGGTACACATCCTCTTCAGTTTAGACGTGGACATTAAAATTAGCAAATGGCTAGATTTCCGTCAGGGGGTAAGCACAGTTTTTACCAGGCAAATTCTCATTTATTTTTTCTTTTGGTTTATGAAAGCTGAAAATAGAAAAATTTTTCATGAACAAGAGGTTGAAAAATGCCTGGTGACCCTTCTGGGATCTGACAACGATGGCACCAAGATTGCTGCTTCCCAAGCTATTTCAGCCATGTCTGAGAACTCGAGCAGCAAAGATTTTTTCAACACCCAGGGTAAGCAAAGCAGAGACAGCCATCTGTGAAGACTTGCAAGTTTCTGCGCTCAGGCTGCATAGGTGGGTTTGAAGTCACGGTTTTTCCTCATCTCTCCCCAGGGATTCCACAGATAGTTCAGCTGCTCAGAAGTGACAATGAGGAGGTGAGGGAAGCTGCTGCCCTGGCCCTGGCCAACCTGACCACCAACAGCCCCTCGAATGCCAAGTAAGTGCAGACAGCTCGCTGGTCCCACGCACCCTGACTAGACAGCTTTTAAGAGGATTCCATATTTTCTTAGGTAATCTGACTTTTGTTATTCTTTGGGGTCTCTTATGAAAGTAGGTATCTGATTGACTCTTTTCAAAAAATGGACTATTGAATTTTGTTGGGAAACTGTGCAAACCGTTATATCGAGATGGCAAGTTAAGTCTTTGTGTGTGTGTTCTTGTTCTTCTGTGTGTGTGTGTGTGTGTGTGTGTGTGTGTGTGTGTTTACATGTCCATGTGTACAGATGACTGGAGTACGGACATCACCTTCTATCACTTTCCCCTTTGTTTTATCCAGTGTTTGCTATTTTCTGTGTACTGGATTTTGTCTGCTTGTATGTCTATGTACCATGTGAGAACGTGGTGCCCACAGAGGCCCGAAAAGGCTGCTGGATGCCCTAGAACTGGGGCTCCAGCCGCTTGTGAGCAGCTAAGTAGGTGTTGGAAATCAAGCCTGGCTCCCTGGAAGAGCAGTCAGTGCTCTTGACCCCTGAACCGTCTCAAACCCCAATTTCCTTTAATTCAGCAAGACCAGAAAGCCAGTGAGCTCCAGAGGTCCTCTGGGCTCCAACTCCCCAGCACCAGAACTACAGGCCTGCGTTGCCATGCCTGGCACTTTGCATGGGTGCTGGCATCCAGACTCAGGACCTTACATTTGTGCCGAAAGCATTTTACCAGCTGAATCATCTTCCCAGCCCCTCCCGTTAACTCTTATGGCTCACAGCTTTCACTTCCTATATGAGTGAAAGTAAGCAAGCTAGAAAGATTGACAGCATTATTTAAAACAATTGATACATTTTACAGGGTTTAAAGATCCCCTCTGAAAAAATGTAAGCGTTAGAGAAATGAGCATGAAGAGAGGCCAGTGTTGGAGATTCCTCCTGAGTAGGAGCACTGTAGAACAAGTTTTGTAATCACTTTTAAAATTAGTTATCGAAGTAGCCCATCAGGAATGAGACCAAGACTGTGCATGCTTAGCTAACATGTAAATAACAGCTGGAGACAGAACACACGTCCGTCAGTCTCCGGAGGAGGCTCCAGAGGGCTAGCTCTTTCCTCCAGAGTGTAGCACAGCCTTGCAAGACAGGAATTTCCTGAGCTTGGGTTTAAAGAAGATAAACTTTGCCCTCCTTGCATCTTACTTGGTATGCTGACTAACATTTACTTCTTATCTTTTCTGTGCATGAGTGTGTGAGAGAGAGAGACAGACAGAAAGAGAGACATTCTGGCTAAAATTACCCTTTCTAACTTGAAGCATATTCACCCCTTGCTCTCATATCATCTTGTTCTTAACCTTTTTACCCCTTTGTCTACTCCCACACACACGTTTTATGAGGCCCTTGGTGGAATGACTAAAATCCAGCAATGTGCCATGAAAGCCTAACAGCAGTGCAGCGAAACAAAGGTGCTCCTCTGTCACAGGCCGTGAGAATCACTTCCCAAGCCAAGGATCACCATTACCTCCAAGAAAGCTTCAGACTCAGGGAGCAGTATTTGAAAATAGCAATCATACCATTTCAAAAAGTCTTATCAGTATCATTAAAACCTCTCTGTTGTCCATATTCATTTACATATAGTGTAAAATACTTTTAGCAGGCCTTCAGGGTGAAAAGGTGTCTTGCTATAAACCTGGAGGAGTTCTTCTCAACTCTATAAACCTGAAGGAGTTAGGACATTGCTAGGCCGAAGGGATTACTGCCTTTAGATTGCTCTGGCATTGTTTCTTTCACGGACTTTTGTTGTTTTTGTAATTTCTGTTTTAGAAATATAGAATCAGGGCTAAAAGATGTGTGCTTTCTCTGCTATGACTCTCTTCATCCCTGATTCCATGTGAGGGGAGGTTTTCACCCATTCGGCGTGCCCTCCATTCTGCCACCTTTTATCACTGTTTGTTAAGGGTGTTCTTTGACAGCTGCATAGTCTTACTTTTGATTAATTTTTTTTTAGCGAAAACATATTTAAAACATTAGATTTATTTATTTCTCATTGTGTGTGAGTGTTGTGCCCACAGGTGTGTGTATTATAACCACATTCCTAAGTGGCACCCTCAAAGGCCAAAACAGGTCTTTGGGGCCCCTGCCACGGGGCTGCTGATGCTTGGGAGCCACCCTGTGGGTGCTGGGAATCAAGCCACAGTCTTCTGCAAGTGTAGCAAGTGCTCTCAACTGCTGAGCCAACTCTTCAAGCCCAAAGTAAATATGTTGCAGAGTGCATCAGTCTACTTGTGCCAGATGCTAAAAACTGGAGTCAAAAAACGATCTCAAAGTCAACCAAAAGTAGGGAAGGCAGCCAGGCTAACTTGTAGCTTCTTCTAGAATGTCAATCATTTAATGTACTAATTATAAAGTAAGATTCAACAGGAATGACAGCAAATGAGATTGGTTATTCTTAATAGAAAATGTCTTCTTTGACTATTATACATAAGTAAGCATGAACCTGCCTTTCCTGGGGTTCACAGAACCCATTTTGGAAGCAAACTATTTCAGGACGATTCTCCCAGCATGCGCCTTGCTGCTGCTGGGGTGGCTGAGGAGTTTATGCTGTTCTAATTGCTTTCTGTGGCTCATCCTGAAGGGAGGAGGCAGAGCCAGAGCTGAGTCCAGGTGCACTTAAGAGTTGTTTGAACACCTGCTCATCTCTAAGCTAACGTGTAGCAAGGCAGGATAACCACCAGGAGTCGTGTAGCAAGGCAGGATAACCACCAGGAGTACCGTGGGTGTGATGGAGGCGACCTTCTCCTACATTCACATCTCCATGTGCCTAAAATGAATTTCTAATCCCTTCTTAAAATAATAGTGTTTACTATTCTTGAAACTTTCATACAACATATACATTGCATCTTGACATATCCACCTCTTTCTCTCTCCAATCCCATTCAGGACAGCACCTCATTCATAGCTCCTTCCCTACTTCAATTAACATCTATCTATCTATCTATCTATCTATCTATCTATCTATCTATCTATCTATCATCTATCTATCTATGTATCATCTATCTAGATATCTAGCTATCTAGCTATCATCTATCTACCTATTTATCTATTATCTATCTACCTATCATCTGTCTATTTATCATCTATCTATCATCTATCTGTCATTTCTATCTGTTTGTCTGCCTGTCTGTCTATCATCTATCTATCCACTGAGTCATGTTAGTGTTCCTATATGGGAATGAGAGTAGGGGTTATCTACTGGGGTGTGGGCCACCTGCCAAAGGCCAGCTACTCCCCCCCAAAGAAAAGTGGTTGATTCTTCCCCGCCATAAATTGTCACTAGCTTCCCAGCTAGGGCCTCTGAAGTCTTTTCTCCCTCCTTTTGTACAGATAACCCAGCTACTGTGGGCTCAGGTGCGCAGCCCTGATGTCCAGGGGGCGCTTCACTGCTCTCCTCATACTTCAGCCCTTACATTCTTTCTGTGTCCTCTTATGAGATGTTCCCGGAGTCTTGGGTGGAAGGGAGGGTGGGGGAGGTGGGTAGATAGCTCATCTACGGCTGAGCACTCACAGGTACTTGTCCTCACACTTGGGCATTTTCTGGAGTTAGCCTGAATAATGTATAGGTAAGAATCAACCCAACTATACCAAGCCAAACAGGAAAAAGAGCAGAGGACAAGGATGCGGATACTTTGAGGTAACTTTTATTGCAAAAAGGACAAATACTTTTTCGTTCCATTTTTTATGATTTAAAAATGGAACTGTATAACCTATCTATAAACCAGTTTCTCACCCGGTTTGTCTGAGCTCAGGTGCCATGCATCTTGTTTCTCTCCTGGAAACACATTCACCGTAACAGTAGCATGTAGGCATTCTCTGCAGCACAGGAAGCATCCAGGCCGGCCCACCCTTCTGTGGGAGGTTCTCAGGTTCAAAGTAACTGGGTCTCCATCTGCACAGGGGTCCCGCCCGTGAGGTCTCTGCGGATGTGGCTTTGTGGACCTTTCAAACTTTATCTCTCCACAGAATAGCCCTTCAAACAATGTACAATGCGTTTGAATTAAAAGATTCTAAACTGCTCCATTCTAACCCCTGTGCATGCTGACGCTGCTACCATGAAGGAGGGTATGCTTCTTAAGTGCAAGCTCAGGCCATTTCTATCCCATCTGTCAATATCTCTAAACCAGACTGTCGATTACTTCATTAACAACACACAATCAACGTTGCTGCGGAAACCAACCAAGAGTAAACAGGCCATAAAATATGATCTGGAAGTACTTTCCAGTTCCAGAAGTATTTCTCCCAAGCAGTTTTGAAATGACAATTCTAGCCCTAACCCTAACCCTCTTGCCTAAAATGTTTTTCTAGAAAGCCAACTCACTGTTGAACTATCACCCTGGGAAAGCATTACTACAATGTTGAAAACTACACAGCCAGCCCTCATTGGCGTCTGCCCCCATCTCGTAGGTTTAACCTGTTAGGTTGATTGCTGTTTATCTTCTGTCTCCCACTACACCAGATCTATGGAGGGAGCAACCTTTCTCTGTTTATTCATTGACACAGTTCAAGGATCTAGAACAGCACCGTTCCACAGATAGGTAGGGCCGGGGATGGAGGTGTGAGGGAGGGGTGAGCTATTTAAAGAAAGAAAATCAACCCAAAGTGAAAGATAGGAAGTTTAGTGTGGTGGGGGATCACAGTGGAGAAGCCTGGATACCGCAGTAACCGGGCTGCTGGAGGACCGGAAGAAGAGAAAGCCCGGTGAAAACGATTTCTTTCTCTAATGGAAAAGAGGTTCCCGTCGGAAGGCTGAGGGGCCATCTGCAGATTTCTCGCAAGACCTACAAAGATCTCCAAGTGTGTATTTGCCACGGGCGCTTGGACACTAAAGAAGACATCTGCCGCCTTCATCAGGGTTTGGTCAAGTAATCTAGGGAATCTGGTCCAACTCTGATTCCCCCAATTTGGAGTAACAGCGGCTGCTAATGAAGACGAAAGCAGTGAACTGGAAGAAATGGCCCCAGAG